TTGTAGAGGGTGCTCCGGGTCGCCACTAACGCATTTTGGCTGGGGGCAAAATTCGGGCACGGAAGTGGCCTTCCTCCCTCCTGTGGTCTTGCAGAGGCCTCCGCCGCTGGCATAAAATTAGAAAGCGGCAGTAGACCCCCTCTACAGGTCTTCGATTTTTGTAGAGGAAGGTGATTCTTTTTGGACTCCCATAGGGGAATCGATTTAGTATCCTATGGTCTGATGGACCACTGACAAGATCAGACTGATCAAATACTCAGCCTTCTCAGGCAAGAGGCTGAAATTGATATGATTGTGTGACGGCTTTGCCAAGATTATATGCTTCTTCTCGCATGTCCCTATGCTCCAGAAAAAAAAAAGTTACGAGTTCGGGCCTTTCGGCTCGTGAAGTGAGAGCATCAATGTTGTCCGAGGTGCAAGCCCAAGAACGGACCTCGCTCCACTACATGTACCCGGACAGATAACCCGGCGGGATATTTTCGAACTGATGACCCACCGTACATGAAAAAAGCAAACAGAAAGCGCTCTGACCGCACAAGCTGAAAACTGAACCCATAACCTTCTTGTAGAGCGTGGCGCTGTGGAAGAAGTATAACTCTTGGCAAAGCACGAGATTAAAACAAATCTTATCTGGCCTTTGAGATGGGATATCATTTCTATATCTGATACCAATCATACCGTGGCCCATCAGATCGCACGACGCTGAATTACAATATTCGGGCCACAGAGGGGTCAGACAAGTAAGCTAGTTTACTCGACCCCTCCAGAGTTACCTCTGTATTGAATTACTGCTGAGTGTGGTGCAGTGCGGCCCCATTCCAAGGGGTACTTACCAAACCCTAATCTCCCCTGCCCCCCCCCGACCCCAACCCACCCCAAAAAAAAGTTGTTCATTCAGTTTTTATTGCGGATTCTGACTGCTCTCGACAAGCGCAGTAGGACCCCGCAGTCAAAAAAAAAAAGAAAAGAAAGGGGAAAAAAAAGCTCTGTTTTGGGCCCAACCGAAATTCTGGTTGGGCTGCAGGGCTGAGCCGGCAACCGGCCGGTCGAGCTGACCCGGTCCAACCGGGGCCGGACCGGGCCAGAGGGGGTCAACCGGCAAACCGGATGGCCCAAAAAAATGGCCATTTTTTTTTTTTTTTTTTTTTTTTCGCGGGATCCGACTGTGCTTGACGATATATCGTCATATATCGTCATATATATATACAAGCAGGTGCAGCCAGCGCAGCTTGCGCCCGCGAACACCGTCAGGAAGCAACCCCAATAAAGAATCTCACGTCCTTCTTTCTGTCTCTGACCGTGATGTTTGACATTGTTGGTTGCTATCTTACCTTTCTTTCACTGTTCTTTTTTTTTTTTCTTTTTTTTTCCGTCTTAAACGTTTTCAGATCATGATCGTCGTTCTCTGAAATCATCAACATCAGCATCCAAACTGACAAAAACCAAACAACATCACAGCCGTTTCATTGCGAGAAAGCCGCGGAGAAAGCCATTAGAGAAACTCAATTTTATCGATCAAATGAAGCACAACCCACCGGCCCCAAGCACCACCGACCGCCCGCAAGCACCCACCGACCGGCCCCAAGCACCACCGACCCGCCGCAAGCAGCCACCGACCGGCCCCAAGCACCACCTATGGGCCCCAAGCACCACCCACCGGCCCCAAGAACAACCCACCGGCCCCAAGCACCATTGACCGCCCCCAAGCACCCACCGACC